ATACACTATTTATAATGTGTGTCCTACAATATAAAGTGCAGGCACGGTGCTATAGAACAGAACATTAAAACTACAGCTGACGCAGCTGATCTGCTTCATTATGAAACACAATCTGTCCTTGTGTGAGAAACACAAAGTAAATGAAAGCACCATGGTGAGACTGGAGAGAGAGAGAAAAAAAGTCAACTATTGGCCACTCAGAGAGTGAGAGAACAAGAAGGATGAGATATTGCAGCTTTTGGCTTAGGATAAAAGACAAAAGGGTGTTGTTGTGATGATGAACAGAGGATGAAAATAGAAAAAGCAGACAAACAAGACTCACTGCGAGAGTCTGGTATTTCAGAGAAGGTTCTTGCAAGGTCTGTTGCGACCGCTGCTCTGGCCTCCCCCTCGTCTCTCTGGGTGTCTGATCCCAGCTCAGACGCGCTCTCTGTGCCGCAATTTGTCTCCACTAAGTGTAAGAATTCAACACATCTTCTCACAAATCTCTGTACAAGCAAGAACGCTAGCTGTGTCTTTCATTTGGCATGTGTTAGTTTGTTTCCCTGTCATGTCTGTTCTTTGTTTCAGCTCCCTTTTTTGTCATTCTTTATTATCTCTGCTTTCCTCTTTCTTTCTTTCACTCTTAAACTCTTTTCTCCCTCCTAATCCTCATGTACCTTTGAGACTGTGCTCCCTGCCTCGCTTCATTTCAGGCTTCAGGCTGTTTTAATGCACCAATTAGTCTGTTTTCTTGACTCATACAAAGTGAAAAGAGCAGGAGGGGGGTAGAGTCTTTGGGACAAAACAAAATGATCATAACCTTTTATCCAGAGAACAAACGTCTGACTAGACTGAAAGCTAACAAACAAATACAAAACAGCTAATGGGCCATTTGTGAGTGGTTTATAATGAGTCACTGCCCTCAATGTGTGGGACCATTTATTGACACCGACCCGTGAACACACATACACAAAAAGAACTTTTGACCCCAGTCTTGGCCAAGTGGAATTGATTTGATTGGCCTTTGGCTCCCAGCAGCATCCCACCTGCCAGAGGTCAATGCTCCATTGACCTCTGGCACAACATGTCAGTTTGGGCCCTTCTACAGAAATCTCTCGTGGGCTGCTTTTAAACAGAATCCTCGGTGAGGTAAGTACATTCAAAGCTGTGACCTGCGCCTCTGACATCCCAGTGGATACCTTATGCTGTCATGAATATGGTCATGAATATTCAATGCTCGGTTTCTTCCTTTCTCATGGAGTCTTGAGAGGCAATGTTCCACCGGCTGTTCTTTTCCACTGACTTAAAGAGGTGCCATATGCTTTAAAATGTCTCCTCACTGTAAGAATCCCTTTGACAAACCTGGTGGTCTTAGATAATACATAAGTTTTATTTAATCTTAAAAGAAATAGTAGGAGGAATGAAGAATAAACATTTGGGGAAATATGCTTATTTGCTTTCTGGCAGAGCTAGATTAAAAGATGGTTACTTCTCTCATATCTTTTAAACATTACAAAGATTTAGCTTACGCTTATATCCAAAGGAAATTACAATTGCTCTATATGTCAGAGGTCAGAGGAGGGAGCAACTACGGGTTAAATGTCTTGCTCATTGGCTAATGTGTGGCAGTGGGAATTGAACCCTGGTCTTCCACATCAAAGGCATATGTCTTATCCACTGTTCCATCAAAAACCCTGTATGTGTAATATTATATACTGCTCTCTGTGTCTAATACAGGACACTTGCAGTTTGACTGTTTGCAGTATGTGTAAGCATCACCTTACATGAAAAGTTATAATTTATATTGATGTGTTCAGAGAGTATATGCATGTCAATTCCTCACGTACAGCACGTTGATGTAATAGCTATCCACCATGCCCACTGAGATACTGCTGCCCTATATCCTGCTCCCTAATAGTTGTCTTCTCCAGTCTACCTGGCCTGTCCATTGTATCTATGTCACATGGATGTATGACAGCCCTGAAGCTATGCACTGCCACCATCATGGAGCACTTGACATCTTCATGTATTTATGACTCTATTAAAAAGCTGCACAAGGACAAGGGGTTGGGGCACTATGCATGCCATTCTTCCTTCTGCTATTTTTTCTCCATTTCTCTCAGTCATTAGCTCAGATTTATGTAGCCACCCACTGATAGGAGTATATAAATGTATGGTTAATATATAAATGAGTTGGGATGTCATTTCTTACATGACCCGTATGTCATTTATCACCAACATTAATGTACAATGCCTGAATTTTGCAGCCTCGATTCTGCTTGAGAGGTCTTCTCTTAACTCTGTTTTACGATAACAGAGAAATTATTTGAGAGAATTCATTAGAATAATACACAATGCATACATTAAGCCACTGTATAATGTACCAGATGGTCCATTGTGCCTTTGTGCCTGCTGCTCACATTGGTGTTCAAAAGCCTGACATGTGGCCATATTAAAGGGTAGATGAAAATGCAGTTTTCAAAGAGGCAAAGAGACTGGTTAACTGAATGTCAGCCTCTGAGAAGTTACTGAAGATGATGACCCTTTCACACTAGTGCGTGTGTATTAAATAATCTTTATGAGGACTAAGAATTTGGCAGTTATGAAATCATAACCCTCACAACATACGGGAGACAAATGTGTGAGTGCTGCTTTCGTGTGTTTGTGCATGCTTTTAGTATTCTGCGTTCAATAAGCCCATTTTACCTGCCCTTGCAATCATCTCCTCCATTCAGCCTGACTATCCACAAGATAGTAGCTGTGCAGAGTCTGTCACCTCAATCTGCTCCGCAGGTCCAAACGTTTAAACCTCACCGGAGGCCAATAGGTTACGTTTGTTGAGTTTCCTGGGAAGTGATGAAAGGATCGCATTGTAAGCGGGTGATAAGTGGTGGCGTAATAATATAATAATAATAATAATAATAATAATAATCTTTATTTGTAGAGCACTTTTCAAAAACAAGTTACAAAGTGCTTTAACAAGTGTAAAGACAATAATACCCAAAAGACAATAATACAAAAACAATACAAGATAAAAGCATGAAAACATTAAAAAGACTAAAATACACGTTTAAGATAAATATAAAATTAGTAAAATACAATAAAATAAAAGGGATAAAATAAAGTCAAATAAGATCGGGAAAGGCTCTCCTATAAAAGTATGTTTTAAGAAGGGACTTAAAAGAGTTCACTGACTCAGCTGACCTGATTTCCTCGGGCAGGCTGTTCCAGAGCCTCGGGGCCCTGACTGCAAACGCTCTGTCCCCTTTAGTTTTCAGTCGAGAATCTGGAACAGATAGCAGACCTCTGCCCGAGGATCTCAAGGTACGTGCTGGTGTGTATGGGACTAAAAGTTCAGAAATATAACAAGGCGAGAGGCCATGAAGACCTTTAACAGTAATCAATAGAATTTTAAAGTCAATTCTAAAACATACTGGGAGCCAGTGTAATGAAGCTAAAATAGGAAGCAATGTGGTCATATTTCTTTGGCGTAGACCCCCTCCTCTGTTCAGCGATGGCTTCTCTGTCTAAAATATGCAGCTGGCGATCCTCAAACAAGTGTCCTCTGTCCTTCAGATGTAAGTAAACTGCAGAGTCTTGACCTGAGGAGTTGGCCCTTCTGTGTTGAGCCATGCGTTTGTGTAGTGGTTGTTTTAATGTCCCCAATATACAGGTCTCTGCATTTCTCACTGCATTGGACCGCATACACTAGATTGCTTTTCTTGTGCTTGGGGATGTGGTCTTTGGGGTGTACCAGCATCTGTCACATCCGTGAAACCTTTTGCTATGTTTGC